CTTCATCTCCTTCATTTTCACCTCCATCAGTGCCAGGATGTCCCGCTGCTCGTTCAGCTTGCGCAGGAGCTCCTCTTCCGTGGTGCCTGACGACAACGAGTACGAGTGGTCGGAACCAGTATCAGGGAAGCCCTCTTCCCCGACTACCACCAACTGGGGGCCCATAGGGCACTCAGCGGCCTCCAGCCCTGCGGTGGCAGCCTCTAGCTCCGACGCGGCGGCTGCGGCGGCAGCACCCTCTGCGGCCGCGAATTCTACTTGCACCGTCAGATCGATGGGCTTCACATCTTCTCCGGTGGGAGTAGTGGGCGCCGGCGGCCCGGATCCAGGAGCCTGGCTGCTGTCTACAGCGGCCTGAAGCGTGAGGAGTACAGCCGCAGAGGCAGACACCAGGTTCGGCTGCAGTTGGGTGGTCTGGGCAGTGGAGGCTGACGGCGACGGAGGCGGCGGCTGCTGCTGCTGCTGTTGTCGCTGCTGCTGCTGCTGCTGCCTGCGGCGGGCGGCTGCGGCCCCAGCGGGTTTGCGTGCTATCTTGCGCTCATTAACACCGCGCAGCGGAAAGATGGTAGGGACGCGTACCGCGTAGGTCTTGCGGCCGCCCTGGAAGTGTACGCTGCAGAGACGGTGACCCGCGGTGGGCTGGAAGGTGGAGAAGCATCCACTGACGCCAGCGCGAGACACGTTCTTCAGCCAGAGGCGCCGCAACTCGGCGTCCTTGGGAAACGTGTAGAAGTGCAGCGCCTTGTCCCGATGCGAGTTGTTGTAGCAGCCTGGCACGCAGCACGTAAAGCCAGGCATGGCTGCGCCGCGCGGCCCGGCCCACCGGCCTCCTGAGCCCTTCGACGGCCCGGTCGTCCACCGCCGTCCGCCCGCCCCTCGACGGGAGGCGCCGCGCGAGGCCTTAGCGGCTCCTCACTAGTTTCGCCTGGCGCAGCCGCCTGACCTGGCGCCCCGTGCCCAGAATAAGCTTCCCGCCGGCCCGCGCCGCGCAGCCAGCCAGGCCGCCCGCCTGCGCTCGGGAGTCGGCCCCGGGGACGCCGCGAAGGACCGCCTGGGAAGGAGGACTACGCCCCCCACAATGCACCGCGCCAGAGGCCGCTCACTTCCGGAGTGGGGGTATGCTTATTCCGGCTGCTTTCTAAGGCACCGCAACACTCCACGCAGAGCAGGTTCTTTACCTGACCTGGTTCAACCGGGTGGACTAAAGAGTCGTATTCGGTTGGAACTCTGTCACCTGGACCGCTCTTTAAAAAGACCCGAAATCCTGGTGGGGGTCGGGCGGCGCGCGTTCCTCCGGCACGCAAGCGCCTTGGGATACGCCCCCCGGAAACTACAGGTCCCGTAATGCCCTGCGCTGAACTCCGCGGCTGTGGCCTGGAGCGCCGCCTAAGGGAAAGGTCGGGTTATTGCTGACCAGGATTTGGGCGGTGGTGCTGCATTCCTCTGGGAGTAGGGCCGGGCGACCTGTGCCTCAGTACCCCTAACGACATTAGGATCCTTTTTCTCTTCTTTGGGGACTTTCTCCATACTCAGCCACTGCTTGCGTTGACTTACGTATTTACTGACTGAAACATCGTGACCAGTAGGCGCCTACTGTGTGCCGGGCACAGTGCCAAGAGTTTGGAACCTTACAGGAGCCAGACCCATCACGCCTGACCACCAAGAAAGATGAGGACCAGACTTTTGGATAATAGATATGAATGCACGCGACTGAATGTCTAATCACAGAACTAAACGCTCCGCAGGAATCAACTAGGCAGAGGAGAAAATGGGAAGTGGAGGCCCAGGAAGAAAAAAACGAGGAAAAGTTAGGGTGGGGAGGAGTAGCTAGTTCTTGTACCGGAAACCAGCCCATAAAAGCAAGAAAAAGCTAGGCTCCGCTCTTAAAGTGCTTAGAAGGGGGCGGCCGGGTAGGAGAAGCCGCCGAAAGGTAGCAAACTGAGCCATGTTAAAAGATTTGGAATTTTAATCTGCAGGCGACTGAGAGCTGTTAAAAAGTGTTAAACAAGAGGATGGACAGGAGTTTAACAAGAAACTTCCCTCCTCCCTCGACTTCTGTGGGAAAAATGTTCTAAACGGCAAGAGAAACTGTGGAAAAACTGGGGAGGAGGCCAGGCAGTCGTCCTGAAGAATTACCTGCAAGCTAATCCTCCTTTGCGGAGTTCCCCCTTTGTCCTACTTCTTGCTCTTCACCTTTCTCCTGACTTTTCCTCTTCGTTTTTGTTTTGCCTTCCCTCTCCCCATTACAGACCACAGGTATGAAATCGAAGCCTAATATATATTATTTATATTACTTGTAATTATTTGGTGTAAAACTAAGTAGATTGGGCATTTAAAAGCTTGTAAAAGAAAATAACATTCCAAGCTAACTTTTTAATTTTTTAGTTTCTTGTTGTTTATTATGAAAGGGACCCATACCTAAAATGTAAAAAAATACAGGACAATGGGGAAAAATGGGTTTCACAGACCCATTACAGGAGAATGTCCCATCACTCCTGGCCTCTGAAGCTGATGTCCCCAGCTTGAATTCCTTCAAATTCAGAAATGCATTCTCTAAAGATGTGCATTCATTTGTGCAATGATAAAAATATGAATATACACTTTGTTATGGTGAAATGTTTATAAAATGTGTGTGGTAGAGATAAAATTGAGCAAAAGTTTATTGTATATGTTATGTATTTTCAGTGTCATACAGTTACTGATATGGTTCTCCTACCTGTCTCAAGGCCTACCTTGCTTGATAAATAGTGGTAAGAGGACAAATTGTTATAATTTCTTTATACACACAACATTGAAGATTATGCTTGATAAAACTCTACTTTTTAGTACATAAAATCACCTCTTATCTACACTTAATCCTCCGCACTCAAAACATACCTGGAAATGCATGGCTTTCTCTCCACCCCACTGCCCCGCCTACCCTTTATCTTATCATCTCTGAGAAAGGCAAAAACCTGTCACAGGTCTCCCTACTTCCAGTCTTGCCTCTCCTACATTCTTGTCCATGTGGCTGCCAAAGAAAATATGATTACGTAATGTCTGCTTACATCCTGCCAGTGGCCTATTGCATTTATAGTAATGTCCAAAGTTCTTTCCAGAGCCTGCAAGAACTTACATGGTCTGGCCCTTGCGAATCTTACTCCTCCTTGCCTCATTTCATGAGCCCAGTGTTTTTTTTAAACAAGTAGTAAATATAAAGTTTAATCAATTATGTAAATGCATGGAATAATGCCGTGCAAAAAGTAAGTTCAGTTCATGTCTCAAACTGTTTTGAAAGATTTTTTTTTTCATATTATCTAGTTCAAGGCTTTACAATAAATAAGTAAATAGAAAGACATAAGTAAATTATTTCCATGGTGACCATGGAAATGTACCTGCAAAGGGCTAGCAAGTTCAGTGAGATAACACAGAGGTCAGATCTTAATGACAAGAAATACTGAGTGGCTCAGTGGATTGAGTGCTGGGGGCATCAATTCCCAGTCAGGGCATATGGTTGGATGGTTGGGTCCACATCCTGTGGACCAGGTCTCCAGCTGGGGCTGTGCAAGAGGCGACCACACATTGATGTATCTTGCTCTTCCTCCCTTCCCCTTTCTCTAAAAATAAATACAATCTTTAAAAATGAAATATTGATATGCTTTTTCTCTGCAATTCTCTTACTTTGAGAAGCGAAAATCTATTTTTTTTTATTGATTTATTTTCATAGAAACGAGAGGATGGAAGAAAGAGAGAAACATCGATTTGTAGTTCCACTTATTTATGTATTCATCGGTTGATGTATGTGCCCTGACTGGGGGTGGAACCCAAAACCTTGGTGTATTGGGATGCTCTAACCAATGCTCTAACTGAGCTACCCGGTCAGGGCTAGTATCTAATTTTTTTCTTTGCTTTATTTTTTAATTCAAGCACAAATATGCCCATGGATATTCAAGTAACTCGATTACACCTGATTTTAGAACAAAAAGGAGAACATGTTGGGAGGCTCAGAACTCAAGTTCTACATCAGATCCCATGAACATTTAAGGTGGGAGGGGGCGTCAGTTGGTGAAAAATATGGTAATAGAATCTACGACATTAACAGAACTTTTGAGAGGGGAATTCATCTCAAAATTGCACTTATTCTGACAAGTCACACACAGCCTATTAGCCTCCAAGCCTTGCAAACTGGTCTCCTGATAATGAGCCTACAGAGTGGTCTATACAAATGCAAATCTGGCCAAATCACCTGTAGGATGAGATTATTTTTCCCTCCCCCAAGCGTGTTTCTTCACCTTCAGAGAGCCAGAGGGGAATGAGAGGTATTAACAGTGACCACCAAGGGGGATAGAGAGGTGGGTAGAGGGGAACTAAGGTGGGGGGGGGGAGGGGAATGGGGGACATCTGTAAGAGTGCCAACGATAAATAAAATAAATCCTGACATTTGTGGCTCAGGTGGTTGGGCATCATCTTGCAAATCGGAAGACCCCGCTTTGATTCCTGGCATATGCCTACGTCACAGTTCGGTTCTGGCTGGGTGCCTATGAGAGGCTACCCATCAATATTCCTCTCTCTCACATTGATGTTTCTCGCTGCCTTCCCCTCTCTCTAAAAGTAAATAAATAAAATCTTCAAAAGAAGTTTATAAGAAAATAAAATAATAGGTTTTATTTTAAAAAGTGACCACCATTTATTGATGGGATGGCCTGACTTCATATATATCAAATCCTGAGTTAAACATTATCTCATGGATTCATTACAAGCCCGTTATTAGCTGGGTATCATCCCCAATTTACCGATAAGGAAACCAAGCTTCGACTGTTTGCACACATTTGCCCAGGCTCCCTCCCCGGTAAAACCGCCTCCAAATTTAGCATTTGCAGTCACCTTTGTACACGCCCCCGGCCACTGGGAGATAGAGCTAAAACTTCAATTCCCGTGGAGCTGTGCGGCAGCATCGCGAGAGTAGGCTTAAATGCGACGGCGGGAAGTCGGCCGTCGCCGCCACCCAAGCAGTTGGGAAGCGAACCTCTGAAGCGATGGAGGGCAGCTACATCCCTGACAGCGAGCCTACGACGCGCACGCTGCTGCGGCGCCTGCTGGATACAGAGGACCCGCACACACCGCGGGGACGCCAAAGTATTCGGGCTAGGTATGTGAGGGTACTGCCCGAAGCCCTTGAGCAATCGGAGGGACTGGCGGGTGGGGTTTCGGTGTGATCCAGCTCTGACCCAGTTTGGAGAAGGAAACTGAGTCTCAGAGAGTTGCAGAGCCCAAGACCCTGAGAACTGGTTCCACGCCCATATATGGGCTCGGGTCATTTGTTCGTGCCCCCACCCCCAGAACTCCAGGCCGCCAGGTCTCGGGACTAGGGTTCAACAATGCCCGCGTCTTAGGTGGCCCGCCTCTGGAAGTGAAGGATAGGCGCTCAGAATCCTGCCTTCCGCCCTGTTCTCTAGGCCACTTCATCCCAAACCAGCCCGGAGTGTGTTGAGGCATCTGCTCTGAACTGCCTCCCAGGTGGTTCCTTCCTTTCCCTGAACTTTCTATCCTACTGTCCTCGTAGTTCCCAGCTGGGAGGTGGGAAAGGAGCTGGAGAACACAGCCGGGGCAGAAGTCAGGAGCCAGGCAGGAAGGGTTCTTTGTAGGGAACACGAATTTTGGCCTGACTTGATGGGAGTGTCAGTGAGTGAAAGCTGCGGCGAGCTCATGGTGCAGAGGGTGTGGTGGTTGGCATCTGCCAGACTGGGGCAGTGCAGTTCCTTTACAGGCAATGGAAAGCCATTCATTCCAGCAGAGGTTTTAGACCTATGTTGATGAGGTGGGAGCTGTGCTCTGGGGACATTTGCATGGTTCTGGAATCAGAGAGATTGGACTGGAGAGACTAGGGCTAGAGTGGCCCATGTGGAGGTTGCTGTCAGACCCTGACAAGTACTTAAAAGGTTTAAAAATATTTAAATGGGTTTCTGGAATTATTTTAATGTCTGGAATGGATACTCTTCCAATTACTTCTCTTGTCAGTGTGACTAACCCCTATTTCTGCCAAAGTCACCTCTGTAAAGCGTTCCTCAACCCCTCTCTGTGACTGGGTCATCATATTCTCTCTATTCCCATACCCCTTGGGCTCCTTTTCATCCACAACCCTAGTGACATACAGCTGGGAACAGGCTATGGGAACGACAGTGGTTTCTGGGTCCCCGGCACTGAGGGAAAAAGCCTTCAGACCAAGATCCCTGATGAAGACACGCCTCTGCATCCTCTAGTTCCCCCTTCCTACGCAATTCTCAGAGCTGCTGGTCTTTCCACAGTGCCCGGAGAACCCCGCTTGAAACACCTTTCTCTATGAGGCTGAGAAGCCAGACGAAGACTACTGCCAGACGACATTCCCATGGAGCCAGGGTAAGTGCCCAACTCACTGACCACTATAGGACTCTGGCTGCTGTCAGGGGACCCCAAGGTCTAACTCTGTTCTGGAGCCCACCTTGAGGGAATTCCAAGGCAAAGGAATAGACTGTTTGCTTGGTGCTTTTGCCCAAAGTCTATTGGCAGATTGGCCCACATTCAAACCAGTGGACGTCTGAAGGAACAGACACCCCGGACGCTGCTTGAGAATATTCTACTAACTGGTAAGTGAGCACTGGTCTGCTGATCAGAGTTAGGCATCGGCCCATGGTATCCTTTATTCAGGGCAGGGTGCCCTGCCAGCCCCACCCTCTTATTTCTGCAGCACCGGAATCTTCCATGGTTGTGCCAGAGTCAGCGGTGAAGCCAGTGCCAGCACCACAGGTGGTCCAGTCCCCCAGCCGGGAAAGCAGTCGTGGCAGGTGCACGGTGAATTCTCTCCCTTTGGGGCTGGGCTGCCAGGCAGCTCTGATCAGGAAGCCTCTTGGCAGTCCCTACAGCTGTATTTGGGCTTTCTGGTCTGTCTAAGATTAACTCCATCCTTATAGCCTGGAGCTACAGCTTCCTGAGCTCAAACCCCCCACAACCCTGGCTCCAGGTCTGCTGCTGGCTCTTGGCAAGAGGAAGCAGAGGCTCAGATTGTCAGAGTTTCAGCAAGGAGTGGACCAAGAACTGCCCCTCTCCCCTGGTGAGGCCCTGCACCACACCTATGGCCATCCTCTCTCGCCTGTCCTCTGTAGAGGCTTAGGAGGCCTGAGAGAGGACTATCCTGAGCCTGGGTAACTTACAGTTTTTTCTTTTTAGGTCCTCTTACAGAACCTCATGGGAATGCTGGTGCCTCTTCCCTCACCAGGTGCTGTTGCCTGTTCTGGGGCCTGGGGGAAAAGGGCTGACTAGAATGGATTCTGGCCACACTGCTCCCTGCCAATGTTAGCATCACAGCATGGTAGCCGTGTTCTAAAAGATGAGGGCACAAAGGCAGATGGAGAAAGCGGGTGGGGGATAGGCCTCAGGTAGCTGACTTTCCTTTATGCCTCTTCTCTCTCCCAGCTCCCTCAACCTGGCCTTGGCCACACCTCCCGTGCCACAATCAGTGCAGAGGCCTGGTTTGGCCCGCAGACCTCCTACACGCCGAGCTGTAGATGTGGGTGCATTTTTGCAGGATCTGCAAGATACCTCTGTGGCCTTGGCTCTTCCAGGTAAGGTTGAGATTTCCCTCTTCTAGCCTGTGGGGAAAGCTCTCCCCCATGACAGATAGAAGGTGCTCCTATGTCCAGGGTTGCTCCCCTCTTCATTGGGTCAAGGCCAGTGAACAAACCTGGCAAGTAGGTCTATAAGGAGTTTCTGCTTTCTTTCCATAAGGTGCCATTGTCTTGATAGTTCCTAGTCCTAGTCCCTTAGGGTCTTCCAGGACCCCATATCCTTGAGGAGCTACAAGGCTATGGGTAGGAAAGGGGTGGCTGGAGCTTCTTGGGAGGTTGAAAGGGGCCAAGTATCAGGATCAGCTGGCCAAACTGACCTGGGAACCTGATACCAGAAGGCAAGTCGCAGGGCAAGAGGAGGGTTTCTGGAGGAGGGAAAAGTTGAGAGTGGAGGCATGAGTGAGCAGTTTGGGTGGGGCAAGCAGTGAAGTCTGGGAATGCCAGCTTAGCAGGAAAGTAAGCAAGGAGAGCTGTATTAGAGAGATAAGAGTGCTTTGTAGTGGTCTCTCTTTGAAAGCTACTCGGTGCAGACCTATGGGGCCCATGTATGGCCAGGCCCCAGTGACCAGGTAGCAGCAGGTGGGCTGGGAGTACACTGAGTGCCATCTGGCCCTTGATCTCCAGGTGACAGCCTCAGAACTGCTGTTGCTACCCTGCCAACAGACACCGTGTTGGAGGACACCCAGCCCTTCTCCCAGGCTTTGATCGGCCGTTCCCCCAGTGTGCGCCACTCCCTCCCCTGCCCCTCTTCCTCTGCTGAGAGGACTGTCGGTCGCAGGACACGGAGCAGTGGGCCTGGGCTGCAGAACAACAGTGAGTATGTGAGGCAGGTGGCCTGGAGCCAAGCAAAGCTTGGGCAAGAGTTGGTATTAGTAGTTTTCCCTACTCAGGACCCATGAGTCCCCTCAGAGTCCAACAGCCATTGGTCTGTCCTCCACCCAAGTGTAGAGTCAGTACGTGGCCATGAGACTCCAAACTAGTGCCCTGGGGCTGCCTGCTGCTTCTGCATCCTATATTCTCTCCCTTCATTTCAGGCCCTGGCAGACCAGACCAGCTTCTGGTAGGAAAGGCAGAGGAGGTCGATGCCCTTGCTGTGGGCTTCCCAAACACCAGCAATAGTAGCTCTGGAGAAGATGGACTACAGCCCTTACAGGATGGAGTTGGCGAGGAGGCAGAGGATGTGATGGAAGAAAGCTTGAGCATGAGTGATGAGGAGGAGGCAGCAGGAGCACAGGGATCTGCCGGAGCAGAAGGGCCCGAGACACACAAAGAAGGAACAGAAGCAGAGGGATCCTGGGGGGCTACTGAGGCCAAGGAGCCAGAAGGACCTTCAAGGGATAAGGACACCGCTGGTAGGACAGGTAAAGGGCCCAGTGCAGGGATCTGGGGGTGAGTGGGTAAGTGACAGTCCCTGGCCTTGGAGGAGGGTCTTACCTGGGTTGTTTTTCGAGCACAGGTAGTGTTGGAAGACTCTGAGGTGCCCCTTGCTTGGCTGGTCAGAGCTACATGGGGCCCTCGATGAACAGGACAAGGACGCTGTGGGCCTTCAGGGTTGTGTGAAATGGTTAGGCCTGAGCCCCTTCCTGTCCTTTCTCTACAGGAAGTCCAGAGTTGACCTCCATCACCCTGGAGTTTCAGCAGGCCAGACAACTTGAGTTTCTTGAGCCAGCCCAACCGACTAGCACTGCAGTGTAAGATCCCGTGACCCTGTTCCACATGGGCCTCTTGGGAGAGGGCAGGCACTGAGGTTGGCATTGGGCACCACCTGGTTATCCCTCTTCCTACAGGTAGGCAGATGATTCCCAGCAAAGCACCTTAGGTGGGCTGGATGGGGCTCACTGAGAGCACATCACCCTATGCTTGCTTCCGGGTGCTTAGAGGAGCCTGGGTAGGGGGAAGTGGCTAGGTCAGAGATGGTTTCCTAGAGGAGGCTTAGTAGAATCACACAGGCAACAATGGGCTAAGGGGAGGAATATCCATGCCGAGGCTTAAGGGTCATGGGCCTGAGCAAATACCAGTTTGTATGATGAGGCTATACTGGGATATTCACTGGGTCTAGACTGTGGAAGATCAGGTCCCCAAGGAAAGACAAGGCATCTACGTGGCCTCTGTCCCCATTCCCTCCCAGCAGATGATTGGAGCTATTGGTCCAGGTTGGCCAAGGAGCACAAGGGCCCCAGTCTTGGCAGGAGCCAGCAAGATTTATCTTTGATTAGGGGCCTTTTCAGGCAGCAGTCCATTCCTGCTCCCAGCTTGCCTCCAGAGCCTCTATCAGCCAGGCGTCCTCCCAGGGCCCGAACTGCTGGCCCCAGACTCCGTCAAGATCCTTACAAGACCGGACTGAGCCACTATGCTAAGCTCTTCAGCTTCTATACTAAAATGCCCATGGAGAAGGCGGCTCTTGAAATGGTGGAGAAGTGGTGAGTCCTGGACCCTGGGCTGAGGAGAGGAGCTCCTCCTCAGATCATGAACAGTCTGTTCACTCTCTTCTACCCCAACCTTGGCAGCCTGGACAAGTATTTTCAACATCTTTGTGATGACCTGGAGGTATTTGCTGCTCATGCTGGCCGCAAGACTGTGAGACCGGAAGACCTGGAGCTGCTGATGCGACGGTAAGTGGGCGGAAGCAGGGAGGTTCTGGTTGTGGGAATGCTGATGCCAATGTTGACTCTGTCTCTGTCCTCTTCTGCTGCAGGCAGGGCCTGGTCACCGACCAAGTCTCCCTGCATGTGCTCGTGGAGCGGCACCTGCCCCTGCAGTACCGGCAGCTCCTCATCCCTTGTGCATTCAGTGGCAACACTGTCTTCCCTGCTCAGTAGTGGGCAGGCATTGACACCTGTCCTGTCCCCACTGGGGGCCCCTTGGCCCCATATACTCTTCCAGGTCTCCTCCCCACACCCCACCATTAATAAAGTGTCACAAACATAATATGCTGTGTTTTGATACATATCCTGGAGGCAGAGACCAGCCCCCTCCCCTTGACTCCCCAGCATAACCTGGAGAATAGCATGGGTTCAGACAAACAATTTTATACTGAATGTCAGGGGTTAGCTGCCCACAGTGGCCCTAGCTTGTAGGCTCCTGCTCCCGAGGTCCTCTGCGCCTGATGTCAATCATCTGAAGCCGTTCCAGAACAGTCTGGAGTTTTATCATAATGTCTTCTTCCTTTTCCTCACTCTCCTCTGGCAGTTCTGTCAGAGGGAGCTGGAAGGCCTGGCTCAAATAGCTGTTCAGGGTCTGCTTGTCCAGGCTGGGGTCGATGGTCATCAGGGCCTCACGTACCTTGGGTAAGGTCACTTTTTCATGGCTACCCCATAAGAAAAGAGAGAGATAGGCCTTGATACTGCCCCCAACCCTGCACCCCAGGCTCCAAGATGCCTTCTGCCGGGCTTGAGCAGTGTGTAGTGCCCAGTGGCAAGCTCAGTACACAGGGAGACCAGGGGCTTGAGATGCCACCCTGTGGCACAGGCTGTGGGACTCGCCTATAGCTAAGTGGGCCTAAGGGCCCCAGGGTCACTCACAGTTCCAGGCCCAGGTCCTGCTTTAGCTCCTGTAAGTACTCATCCTTTTCCTCCACATACTGTTCCCACAGCATTCGCACAAAGGGTGTAACCTGGCCCTCCTCATCCTGGGATGGACCATAAAACAGGTGATGGCACATGTGCTAGGGCCTAACAGAGGCTAGGACAAGACTAGGCAAGTTCCTGGACCCCCCACCCACCCACCTCCGTAAATAAGGGTTGGTAGCTGAGCCAGTCTACATTGCTGCTGGCTTGCCAGCCCGCTGCCTCCATCAGCTCCTGAATTTTCTCTTCCTTCTTGAAGGAGAAGATGCTCCTGAGGACAGTGCTGTAGGGAGACACAAGGGCCTGGCTGAGGCTAGCCCATACATCTGCCTGCACCCTTCCTCCAGCCCCACCAGCACACAAAAGGGTAGCCAGCAGTAAGGCTGTGGCCCTTGCCACCAAGTTCCCCGTTTCCCTGCACATCTGGGAGCATGGCCAGAGGACATGATGGGCAGGAGATGGAGGGAGCCTGGCCAGCCTCTCACCTGAACTGCTCCATAGTTAGTAGTCCCTCATTCTGACTGTCAACATTTGTCATCTCCTTCAGCAGCTGTGATATTGTCTCCTTGTGCTTGACGTAAACACTTTCACTCATCTGTGGGGGTGGGGGGAGCAATGACTGACTGGTTCCTTCTTGGAGCAGTAGAGACAGAGCTGATCCTGTCCTGGGGAAAAGGGTGGGGAGCCAGACCCAAGCTCACTTTTTCCATCAAGATTGCGTAGAAATGACTCATGATCTCATTGGAGTGGAAGAGCTTAATATTTTCAAAAACAGTGTAAGCCCACGCCATGGCATCAGCAGGCCCAAAGCGACGCTCCAAGAAACTGAAGAAGAAATCTGAGAACTTCTCTTTCTGCAGGGTAGAGGAAAACTGCTTTGTCCGTTAGTCATCCTACAGTTGGGTGGCCCTCCACCCTGCTCCCCGGCACCTCGAGGGAACCCCCTTGGAGGACTCTGGAGGCTACACCTGGCCAGAATGGCTGGTGAGGTCTGACCTGCTCCTCGGCAAGACGTTCCTTCCAGGCATCCTTGAGCAGGTTTACCACATCCTTCTTTGTCGGCTTCTTGTTCTCCACAATGCCATCAACCCGAAGAAAAGGGGGCACGGATTCCGCATAGCCCTGGAAGGGAGAATGTCAGCTCCTCACTGAGCTCACCTGTGGCCCCCACCTTAAGCAGGGCAGAACCCCAGAGGGTTCCCCCAAAACCTCAAGTCTTGGCAGCAAGGCCTGGCCGTTCTGACTCTGGCCAAAAGCCTCCTGAGCCCAGGGACTCCCCTACCAGACCAGGGAAGAAATCTTTCTCCTGGAGCAGCATCTCGCCAATCTCTTCCAGGAGCACATCCACAAGCTGGTCACTATTCTTGCCCTCAGCCAGCATGTGCCAGCGATCTGGGCCCCCGGCCACCACACCTGCAAGTGGAGGGAGGAAGCTGGAGTCCGGACCACACACTCCAGCAATCCTTGGGACCCCAATTACCTTCAACGCCCATCATTACTTTCACACTTGGTCCAATTAGGCCGTGGTGTGGAGGTGCGCTGGATCTCCTGCAGCTCGGAATAAAACTGGTCCCGCTCCTTTACCGTGCTCATGTGCAGCTGCAGCAGTATCTCGTGCTCCTTGCGGACCTCTTCATAGTCGTCTCTCAGGCTGTCCAGCTGTGCGCAAGGTGATTGGTTCTTGCTACCCACCTGCATGACCCTGCCCTACCCTGTCTGGCCTGCCTGCCCCCCAGAACCTGCTCTTGAAGATCCTTGTTGGTCTTCTCCTGCATTTCAAAGTCTCTCCTGGGCACCACATCTCCAAAATTGGCCTTCATGGTGTTGAGCTCCATCTGTGTGCGTGCCAAGTCTTGCCGGGTCATCTTCAGAGCCAGCGTTAACTTCACGGGGTCCTCTCCCCAGACGCCTACCAGGGGGCATGCCAGCTCGAATCACCCCGGTTCTGGGGCCTATAGCCCAGGGCAGGGTTAGAGTGTCCCTCAGGGTACATCCCAGGTCCTTCTGCTCTCCCTGCTTGGGAACCCCCGGGTCTTTCCCCACAGTGCTACCAGCCTAAGGCTGAGGACTTAAATAGAGAAGCCCAGCACAAGGGGTACCAGCTCTGTCCTGCCCTTAGGGACAATTTCTGCCTCAGCTGCCAGAAATTCTTTCCTACTTAAACAATGAGTCTCTGATTCTTAGTCCAGCTCAGAAGAGCCACAGATCCAGGCGGCAGCTGGAACATTTCCCATCATGAATGGTCACAAAATGAGCAGCTATTAGGAGAGTTGAATAAATCAGGGTGAGCAGTGGGGGCAACTCCTCTCCAGCACCTCCTGAAGGGGGAGAAACCCACCTCGGCTTACCTGGGGACTGGGCTAGGGACATGTCTTCCCGCTGGTACCGTAGCTCATTCAAGTCTGCAATGAGGATCTTCCGGGCATCTCGCTCACTGAGGTAGCGCAGGTACTCCTCAGCCAAGTTCTTCCTCAGTTTGGTCACCTGTTGGGAAGGTAGCTGCATGGTCAGGGCTGTCTGTGGACCCCTGTTTGCAGTTAGTCACCACAGGGGGTGGGATGCGTGCAGGGTGGCCCCATCAAGGCCTGGGAACAAGAAAGCTAGAGGTAGAGGGAGACCGGCCGTTCCTGAGAGTCAGCGAAGTGCCCATGTGTCCTGTGGAGAAAGTCTGGCAGCAAAGGAGCAGGACTATGCTGGCATTTGGGGCTACACTGAGCCAGTGCTGAGTCCAGACAGAGTGTGGGGGTCGTAGGGGCTCTGGGGAGGTGGTGGCTCAGTATGTCATTCCAGGCAGAGGAGTGGAGGGAGTTAGGGGGTCACCTTGACGCCCAAGGTCTAGGGTCACCCCTGGGATGGCAGGGGTTCAGGGAGTTGGTCACCACTGTGCTCCGTTTCACCTCGCTCTGCAATGAGATCTTCTCCTCGTTCTTTTTGTCAACGAGTTTTAGCAGGTTCATCTTCTCTTTCTTCAGCAGGGAGATTTCGGATCTCTCCTCAGCCCTCATGGCCAGGATCCTCTCGTTGCATTCCTCATTCACAGTGACAAGCTTGGCCTTCAGCGGTTCCAGAGCCCGGATCTTCTCCCTCTGGTGGGCTAAGCAGGGAAAGGTGGGAGAGACCCTTTGGGGCCATGGAGAACAAGCAGGAGACACTTCCTAAGGTCACAGGGGGTGGCTACATCCCTTACAAACTCCAGGAGTCTACTCCTCCCTCGTTCAAAGCATTGGCCCTGCTTAAGGCCTTCCCACATTTGCTTTTTTTTTAAAGCAAATATTTCTTTATTTTATTTTATTTTACTTTATTTATTTATTTTTAGAGAGGGAAGGGAGGGAGAAAGAGAGAGAGAGAAACATTAATGTGCGGTTGCTGGGGGCCATGGCCTGCAACCCAGGTGTGTGGCCTGACTGGGAATCGAACCTGCGACACTTTGGTTCACAGCCCGCGCTCAATCCACTGAGCTACTCCAGCCAGGGCCACATTTGCTTTTAAACCAAAGGCATAGTCCAGATGAGGACTGGGGTCTCACCTACACCCTTTCTCCCTGCAGCCTTTAGTGTTGCACGCACCATGCCTGGCACCTCCCGAGCCTGGTTGCGGGGAGCCTCCTTACTTCACAGAGGCACTCCCTCTGTTCTGGGTTCACTTCAATAGAAAAGATGCTCTATTTCCTACAGATACTGCCTCACTGTGTTTCCTAAGGATAGGAGGTGGTCAGGTGCCCTGTCTCAGGACAATGGAAGCAAAAAGGCTAAGCAGGGCTTGGTGACCTCAAGGCTCAGTTGGTAGCTGTCCCCGAGCTGCTGCAGAACCCCAGAAGGCCAGAGTAGGATCCTCTCTGCCTCTTCCAGTCTGGGTCCAGGCAGCTAGGCTGCAGTCTTACCCAGCATCACCTCATATGCATTCTTGATGGAGGATAGCAAGGGCTTGTATGTTTTGAAGTCCTCTATGAAGAAATCAAAGATCTCTCTGTAAGGCTGGCAAGAAAAGGGAAGCTGTCACCTTCTGACCTATACCTGCCACCCTCAGTGGGATCTGAGTTTTCCTTTTCTTAAAAAAATTATTTTATTGTTGTTTAATTACAGTTGTCTGCATTTCTTCCCCTTACCCCCCCCCCCGCCCACCATTTCCCCCTGAGTTTTTCTTTACTTGGTTTAGTAGTATTGCAGCATGAAGCTGCCAGGCGACCCACATTCAAATAAATGCCCCAGGCACCACCCAGGCATCACAGAGCCAGGGACCTGAGGGGCAGCTTTCTCTCAACTGCTGTCCGGAGTCCTCTCCTGGTGCTGTCTCTGAGACCTGGCAGATGACCTGGGTCAGGACTTCCCCCCTCTGTATCTGAGCCCTATCTCTGGCTCTCCA